AAATGCAGAAAAGTAAAGACAGGGAAAATAAACACACAAAGTCCATGATAAGATTATGAGATGACTGAATCTGGCAGAGCCGGTTAGACATCTCCTCATAAGCTTATATGAACAAAATTAAAGCTGTACAAACAAAATTATTTAAGCCTTTAAATGATTATCGCATCTTTAAATAAATAAAGCTTAAGGCATCCGAGGACGCCCTTATTTATTTTCCACTTGCTCTGATACCAAGAGGGGGGAGAGAGGGGTGAAACTCAAAACAGGAAAGAGGGATAACCAAATATCTATATAATGTTAAAAATAAAATAAAAACAAATTTGTTAGAAAAAAACAATTAATAGATATCATTGAAACTTAGATTAATTATTATGCATTTTTCAGTGTTAATATTTCTTTATAATCCATCCTTAATTTTGAATATAATCAATCCTTAGTTTTGAATCACTAGGAATTATTATGGCCAGGTTTAATAGCAATCTTGTATCATTATTCAAAATATGTTCAATTGAATTTATAATAAAATAAGCATATAAATAAGAGAGAACAAAAATTGCATTGGATCATTGTGTCCGACAGAATAGAGAAAAAAATTTAAATAAAATGCAGGCAAGTATAAAACAAAGGAGCAAAAATAATAAGATGCTGGATGTAATAATTAATTTCAGAGCTAAAAAATTGAAATTCAAGAAAAGCAAAAGCCTATATACCTGGAATAACAGGTCAAAATATTTACAAATTTACTAAATGATTAATAAAATAATTAATTATCTTTAAAGTATAACTTTTTTCTCAAAATTTACATTACTTATATGATATTCATTACAGAATAATTGTGATGAATAGTATTAAAATTAGATATATCTCTCAGTTTTTTACTGAATTTCTAAACCCACTGTCATAAGACGGACGGACAAATAATGTAAATTAGGTTTACAAAATGTAAAATTGTTAAAGAACATACCTTCCATAAACCATAAAAACAAAATGTTAAAACATAAATTCAAACTGAAAATGAAAATTAACAAAAATAAGGAAAACTCCACTCCAAAAGTATCCAAAATTTCTATCAGCTCCTATTAATGCCGCATGACCTTTCACTTTCACTCATCATCATCATCTTCGTCGTCACCAGCTGCAGAGTTGAGAGCCTGCAAGCGTGCAATCAACTTGGCCTTCCTCTCTTCGTAGGTAAGCTTCTTTAGGTTGTACCTGCCAAAAGATGGAAATACTCTCAAAAAACATTCTACATTCAGTAAAAAGGTCGCCTAAATTACCTAAAGTCCAGAGCAGATGTTCTGAATGTCAAAGAAAATAATGACCACAAATTAGTCTAAATTTATATGCATTTCACTATTTATAGATTCGATAAGCATTCACAAAAATATCAATGATTTACCTCTTGTGCTCCTTTGGTGGCTCTTTCTCAGATTTCTTGAAAGTGGGATCAGCTCGGATGGCAGCATGAACCTTCTTGTAGAGCTCTTCCAAACCATCAGGCTCTATTCCACGCTTGATATAATCACTGAAATGTGTCTGATATTTCTCTGGCTCATCTTCAATCAAGGTCTGCATAAAATACAAAATGGTTTCCTTAAATTATTTTTAGAAAAGAAAGAGTACTGTGCTACAACACTCCACCGGTAACATGCCCATACCTTCATATAAGCCGCAACATGCCCACCAAAGACATATTTGCGATGAACCTCAGCATCCAGCTCCTTCTTATCCTTATCGAAGCCAGCAAACCTTTTGTCGCTGTGAGGAATATCTAAACCCCCATCCAGAGCTCCCTGTAAATCATAACAATTATTCATTTTTGTCCAATTATAAAACAGAAATAACATCAAATAGCATTGCATATAATGGATTACCTTAAGGGCACCAAAGACACGATTTCCTGTTGTAGTCCTGATAAGACCAACATCAAGGAGAGCTCGGAATGGCCTCCTGGTCTCGGCAGGTTCAACTGAATAATCCTCTCCAGTGGCCTAAAAAGGAAACAAATACTTCAAATGTTGTGACATAGAAATACAAACAGGGCATAGCAAACTCCTATACCTCAACATTTCCTTCATACTCCTCATCCATTTCAAGCTTTTTAAGCACCCGACGGGCCAACAAGAGCCCAGTGCAATAAGCTAGTCACACAGCAAAAGAGTGAGCAAGTAAAAGAAAACAAAAAAACGAATGAAGAGGGGAATGGGGAGATAAGCTTTCTAAGAAAATACCTGCAGCATAGTTTGTAAGGCCTACTTCAAGCCCATAGTGTGGCAGCTCATGTGCATATGCCGCAGCAAGGACAATATCGCCAGCAATGCTAGCAGATGTTACTTGGGCGATGATGTCCTTGTTGGTCTAATAATATGGTCAAGGTTTATCCTCATAGAAAAAACACTAACTGGTAAAATAGCTTCAATTATTCACATGATAATTAGCTCAAGTATTTCTGGTTAAATACGAATTAAGCACATAAAACCATTTCTTCATAACAATAAGAGCAGGATACAAATCGAACCACAAAGCGATATTTTGGGGTGTTGTACTTGTTCTTATCCTGGTTAATCAACCGAATCCTGGCTCGGTAATCGGTTTTCCCCTCTGCGATAAATAAAATCACAATTATAAAGAAAGATTGCGTGAAAAAATATAGACACCAAACACAAAGAAACAAAACAAATACATACGTCTTCTTCTCTTGAACTTCACTTGATATCTCTTGAAGTAAGCCTTTGATTTCTGAGCCTTAACAAAGGCCTGTAATATGCACCAACAAAATGTTGATACAGATTATGCCAGAAAATAGGCAAAGAAATAATCACACAAGTAAAAATTTGTTCAAACAGTTCCATTACACGCTACCGAATGTATAAAAACTCAGAACAATAAAATATAAAGACAATGCGTAACTAGAAGCAAAACCACACCATAATCAAAACTTGGCCTTCAACTAAAGTTACCCAAAACCTTAACTCTCACAAGCTATAAAAGAAAAACTTGGTAACATGGAAAACTGAAATTCAGATTCTGAAATAACAAACAAGACACGGAAATGAGAGAAGAGGGATCCGACACGCACCATTGCAGCGAAGATCGATCTCTTCCGAATGTAGCTGACTGAGAAGAATGAAAGCAAACTAGGGTTTGTCAATGTATAATGGACCCAAATTATTAGGGTTTCATGGGCCCAAATTTTTTTAGTGTTTTGAGCTCCGCTGGGCTCATGTTGGTTTCTCAGCCCATAATGTTTTCTTTAATTAAATATTTTTTATTATAGACTTGTTTACTAAAATAATATTATTATATTATATATATACGTAATAAATGAAATTATTTATTTTTATTTAACTGAACTTCTCATCAAATTATTTTATTAACTGAATCTTTTGTTGTACTTGGAATTTGGTTTCTCATGAACCGAATTCCAACTTTAAATTTACTACTTTTTTTTTTAAATAATATATAATTAAAAATATTAAAAATAATATTAAAAATAAAATTTTAATTTAAAATTTTAAATAATATTTATATAAAAAATAATATATTATTTAAATATATATTAAATTATTTAAATAATTATTAAAAATATTAAATAATAAATTTTTATTATATTTTATATATATATATATATAATTTTTTTTAATAGGAAATTTAAAATTTATATTTTTTTATTATATGAATTATTTAAGTTATAATTTTAGAAAAAAATTGATAAATTTAATATATAAAATATTAAAAGTAAAATTAAAAATAAGTTATTAGTAGTAAAATAAAAATTATAGAACATGATATTAAAGAAAAATAATAAAGGTAAAAAGATCTTTATAGAGTGAAAATAATAGAGGTTTATGAAGAAGAAAAGAAAACCCTCCACAATTTTCTCCCGAAATTCAAGAACAACCACACCTATGAAATTCAAAACGTAATAGACGTCGTCCTCGTTGTGGAATTGAATACCACTTTTGAGATTAAAATTTTCTTAACATTATTGTCAATAGTTTTATTTTTCTATTTTTATTATCAATGATTATGTTATTTTTAATATTATACATTAAATTCTGTCAATTTTTATTATTTTTTATTTTTAAGTTTATTTTATATTAATAATAATTTTTAACTAATTAAATAATATTTTTACTTTATTATTTTAAAAAAATTAATTTTAGCATGAATTTTTTAATATAATATTTATAATTTATCAAATAAAAACTATTACATAAATTTTTATAATATAATATTTAATTTTTTAATATATTACCTAAATTAAATTTTTATTTATTCTATTTTTTTCTAAAATTATAACTTAAATAATTCATATAATAAAAAAATATATAAATTTTAAATTTCCTATTCAAAAATAAAAAAATATAATAAGAAATTATTATTTAATATTTTTAATAATTATTTAAATATATTTAAATAATTTAATATATATTTAAATAATATACTATTTTTATAATTTTTTATATAAATATTATTTAAATTTTAAAAATAAAATTTTATTTTAATATTAATTTTATTAATTTTAATTATATTTTTTATTTAATTTTTTTATTTAAACAAAAAATAATAAATTTAAAGTTGGAATATCAAGTACAAATATTATTTTAGTAAAAAAGTCTTTATTATACGCTGCATAAAAATTATTTTTTTAAATCCTTCCATACTATTTAAATCTTTAAATATTTATAAGAGATGACGTTTTTTTTAAACTATTTCCATATATATATATATATATATATGTATGTATGTATAAAAGCGCCAGGTTTTGTTCCAGTTGGGTGAATCCTCAGATCTGAAACGAGCGCACTAGACAAAATGGTTTGAAGATTTAGGCCCAATAAGGCCCAAAACTTTACTCATCATCACTTCCCTCAACAATGGCGGACGACAGAGAAAGACTCTGTAAAACCTAACCTTTAACGGTTCTCAGAAAGCACAGCGAAACGCTAAAACCATAAACAGCCAAATTGAGCGCAGTCCCTCACTCTCCGTCTTCAATGGCAACCTCACTTCTGAAAAGCACACCCAACGTGATCCACAGACGCCAAAATCATTTCGCATTCTTCTCCAATAGCTCAAGTGCAAGAAACAGTGTCCCCGTTTCGCAACAGAGGAGATCGCGTTCGTTCCCTGTAGTGTCAATGTCAGCCACGCCGGTTCAAACATCTCTCGTAAAGTCTGCACCTTCATCCACAAATACGGGTCTTCCAATAATGGTAATTCACCATGATGAGTTCATTTTGCACTTTGCATTGCTTTGTCAAATTACTGGTTCTCCTTAAAACAAAAGGGCACTGAATAGTATCTGTTTAATGCAATTTCTTACAAATCTGAGTCATAGCATTTAGTATTCCTGACATTCTTATTTGTTGTACTTTCCTTGTGTAGAAATGTCAACTCTTAACTGAATGAACTTCTATGCACTTTTGAAAATAGAAAATTAATGAATTATTACTCTCCGAGTTAAAATCAACTTATTCCCTGATTTTTTGTGCAATCTATCTTTTGTTATTGGTTGTGGATAAGTTTATTCAAACAGGGCTTAGTTGCAAAACACAGTGCAATTAGCTTACACGCATTTAACTTAATTTTGCTTAGGTTAATGCGTGTACTGGAAAAATGGGAAAGGCTGTGATTAATGCGGCAGAAGCTGCTGGACTGCATGTTGTTCCTGTGTCGTTTGGGTGTGAAGAGGAGTCTGGAAGGACTTTTGATATAGGTGGAAAGGAGTTTCTTGTGCATGGTCCTTCTGATAGGGAGAATGTTCTTGCATCTGCCCTTGAAAAATATCCAAATTTGATTGTTGTGGACTACACAATACCAAATGCGGTTAATGGTATGTCATGTATTTTGAAGCATATTTCTCAATGGAGTGAAATGGAGGGAGAAGTGGGGATAAAATTAATTTTGGATTGTTGGGTGGGAAAGAAAAATAATGAAAATAGTTTAAAAAATTGTGGGGTATACTCTTCTTCTGTTTCTCACCTATTTTCACCCGTGTCTTTATCTCTCTTCTCTATTTCTCTCAAATACCTCTAACTTTCACTTTATTTTCATCTATTTTTACTCTAGCATTCTATTTGCATCTACCTTATTTCTCTCCGTCCTACCAATCAAAGCATTAAGTTTTTTTTTTATTTCATTTCATTTATAATGTAAATTATCTCTGAAGGACGGTCCATACCGAGCTGATTCATGTAACTGACTTCACTGGGTGAGACAGGGCATTGCTGTTGTTGTTGTAAATTATGAAATCTTACTATCAGCAAAGAAAATCTTATGTTTCAAATTCATATATCCTTTATTTTTTTTTTCTGATTTATCTTAAAATGAAGCTCATTTTTTTTTTTTGGGTTTACAAATCTACATTTTAATCATAGGAATTGAAGATATTGCATTTGACATTATTTTAAAATATGTAGAGTGTACACGGCCTTCTCATTGACCAGTGTACATTATGGATCTAAATTCCAGACACGTGACCTGATTTTCATGATATAGACAAAATTGATCTTTTTTATTTTATGGTCTCCAATTAGGAGTGTTTTATGAAGATTGCAATAGTATTGGAGCTATTTTTGAATTTATCCTTATATGCAGGAAATGCTGAGTTATACTGTAAGGTTGGGGTGCCCTTCGTGATGGGAACCACTGGTGGAGATAGGGACTTGTTGCATAAGACTGTTGAAGACACAAAGAATTATGCTGTGATATCCCCACAAATGGGAAAACAGGTATATGATAATTAATATGAGAGAATCGTGAACAAACTTCCATGTCTTTAACAGTCCTGTATTTTGTCATCCTTATATTGCTCTATTTTTTTCTCTTTAGGTTGTTGCTTTTCTTGCAGCTATGGAAATTATGGCAGAACAATTTCCTGGAGCCTTCTCAGGGTATTCCTTACAGGTAAGTCTTGCATTTACATTTTGGGGCTTGGGTTTGGTTGGGAACACTTAGTTATCCTAATACACCTTGTTGGAATTGTCTCTGCTCAGCCTAACGTGGAAGTACAGAAATATTATTATTTTATGTTGAGGGAGGGGGCACTCATCGCCTTCCTCCATGTGTCTCTTTCTGTTCTGTTCCTAGTGAAACTAAAGCTCACAAAAATCACTAAAAAAGGTTCAAATAGACATATTGTACAAATAAAACGTCAATAGTTTTAAAATGTTTGAAACTTTGAATGACTGTGATGCATGTAAATTAGGTGCTTAAACTCCTAAATAGTAGGACTGGCAATGCTTGTTCTAGAGAGTACTGTGCTGCTGTCTGCAATCGGAAAGAGTTACAGTAATGCTGAAGTTACTATCATATGTATTGCTGATCCGGCAGTATTACAACTGATTTATCTCTAAACAAAAGATAGTAAAGTACATCCCATGTTTCTATTAATTAGTGACAGGGATTCTCTTGAGGGATTTTGTTTTGGAGAGCAAATTAATATATGTTTAATAAAAAATGTTAGGTTTAATGATGCTTAAGTAAAAATGTTGTTGTGTTTCTTAAACCATTTAATTTTGTAGATGCTTCTCTTTTAATTAATCTTCTATTTGATTTAACATTAAAATCTGATGCAATCGTCCAAGATTGTAGGTACTGGAGTCCCATCAAGCAAGCAAAGTTGATGCATCTGGAACTGCCAAGGCTGTAATTTCTTGCTTCAACAAACTGGGGGTGTCTTTTGATATGGATCAGGTGTGTTAGATCACATTGCATGGACTGTTGCTAAACTCCTTGCTTGCTGAACTGAGTGTGCGTGTGTGGTCTGAATTTATCAGACGAACATGTATCTTGGTATTAGCTGTGTCGTTCACTGGGAATTTTTTCTATAGTTTCTACTCACTTGCTACTTGTTAGTGAATTTCCATGTGTAAGTTCGTATTCGGTGAACTCTAGTTTTACTTAGACAATTTATTGGTTCTTATATGTTATAAGAACTACTGATTCTTATTGGATATTTTTCTTTCCTTTCGTGAATTTCTTTAGATAAAATTGATCAGGGATCCCAGGCAACAACTTGAAATGGTTGGAGTCCCAGAGGAGCATTTGTCTGGTCATGCATTTCATATGTATCATTTGACATCACCGGATGACACGTAAGTATTGACATTCATTTCATTATCATTTTTTTTGTATGCTTTGACATATTTCTACTTGTCACTAACTACTTATCTTTCTTATATTCTGCTCCTTTAAATATTGTTGCAGGGTTACATTTGAATTTCAACATAATGTTTGTGGTAGATCAATATATGCAGAAGGCACTGTTGACGCTGTGTTGTTTCTTGCTAAGAAGGTGAATGATTTATCTTTCTTATCTGATTATCCATCTTACCCTATGATTAGGGTTGCCCATTATTTGTAAAAACAATAGTAACTACTAGCGTTTGTTCTTTGTTCAAATTACTGAGATTAATAGGGCAAGTGCACTTTGCCTGCCAAAGAATGTCATACCACAAGACTACGAACTTGATTGGAAAACTTCTCTATAAGTATTTTTAAAAGAGAATAATAAAGCTTATGCAAATTACTTTATGAGGTTTTAGTGCACATTGCTTTAGCCCTTCACTGTATATCCTTGATTGGGTCACTTCTTGTATGCAGATTGAAGCAAAGGACCAGAAGAGATTGTATAATATGATTGATGTCTTGCGAGAGGGTAATATGCGATGAAATTTTCTTTGGAATCTGGACCAGGATGTCAACTGTGGAACTTTAAATAAACAAGATTTGACATTCGGGCTTTTGAGGGGCAAACAATTTCCATCTTCTGTCTGTGTTCCTTTATGTTAAATTGAGGAAAGCATGGTGTATGTACTATTTATGAATCGATCAAACCTATGTAAGCATGTTTTATGGTATCAATTTCAGTTCCCTTCATCATTTGTATTCTTCAACGCTGGTCGCTATGGTTATTTCCTCATAATTTTTCTTCAACTTCAATCTCGCCCACTATCTCTCTATAAGATCGTAAGAAACTAATTATAAACTAGAAAACTGACGTCGAAAATATAAATTTAACTTGTACAGAACAAATAATTATTTTTCAAGAATAAATTATGTTTTCACTTTTGAAGAATAGACCATTTCTTCTCCCAAAGGATTTGATACGTTGCGCCCCGAGAGTTAAATTAAAAGTATAATTTTATTTTATTTTTCTTAAAAGAACTCATGAAAACTCGTTCAAACTTACCTTAATTCTAACTATCACGAATGTTATATGAGAAATGTTACTTGTTGACAGAAGAAGAACATGTTTGAAAGACATTATGAATCCCACCACCCCTTTCATACGTGGAGAACGTTTAAAGAAAATGAAGTCGTAATCGTAAGGCCATCAAACGAAAAAAATATTAGAAATGTAGAACGTTCCACGAAGCCTTTTCTCAATCATTCAACGACATTTACAACACCCACACGTCACGTGTGATGAATAAATGGATATTGGATAAGATTATCTTAAAACTATTTCAATGAATAAATATAACCAATTTCTGATATAATATAATCAACTAACGTTACATTGGTCTACGTATCTCTTAAGCTTGGTTTTTAAAGTTTGATATTTGTAAATAGAAATAAAAAAAGTGACCAAATTGAAAAATCCCACCAAAGTATTCTAAGTTATTGCTAGAATTAATTATATAAAATCAATTATATGTTTAACTACGTTAAATGAAAGTGATTTCAAAACAACTTATTTCGTTTGAATTATTTTAAAAAAATTATAACAATTTTGTATTTAAGTTAATGGTAGATACAATTTGTTGGGATCATAAATTATTTCCATAGCTATAAGTATAACAGGTTTTTTAAAAATAAATTTTCTAAAAAGTAAATTTAAGATAACTAATTTCGCTTGTTTGAATGTAAAGAAATCAAGTTTTACATATGAAAAAGAGTGAATATGAAAATAGGAAAAAAAAAACATGTTAAACGATGAAAATCTTGCACTGAAATTTTTCGAATCAAAGAAATTAATTTGGAGAACCTCTCTAAGGACTTCTCCATAAGAAGATAGAAAGAGAAACATACGAAAAAATAAAATTAGAATTGATTTTTTCATATTCTCTTTCAAATAATTTTTTAAAATTTTTATTTTTAATTTATACATAAATCAATTTTACTTTTTTCATTATTTTTCAGAAAATTACTTTTTTACAAATTTAAGCTGTCATTCCAAACAAAACTTATTTAAAGAAATTCGTTTCTAAAAGAAAGATGAAATCTAATCAAGCTCGTTATTAGCTTTTGGTCATAATCTCCAATACTTTATTTCTTATAGAAAAATATTACTATATAGATTTTTTTTATATAAAAACACGAATGTTTTTTATCATTCAGATTATAATATCTAAAATTAATTCAATCCAAACGCACACTAGTTACAGTGACAAAGACATGTTAAAAGGTAACCATTAGAAAATGCTAGCAAAAACATATACACCCAAAACTAAGAAAAAGTGTGAATACCTCAACTCAGAAACCATTAGAAAGTTCACACCAAAATAGTTAATACACAACCAATTATACAGAGGTTGACAACCCTATCTTAAAGTCTAATCTAAATCCCTAATACTCTCCAATTTACAAACTTGTTTAAAGTTGTCATCCATTTCTGTCAAATCTAATAAAATACAGAGTTTATATCCCTAAGAAACTGAAAAGTAAAGAATTAGTTCTGGTCTATAGATGGATTTAGGTTGTAAAACTTAGCTGATCCATCCCTCTGAAAACTGTTAGCACCAAGCTGTAATTTTGGGCTTGTAATATGCCAAAATTACGTAATCAGCCAGTGCAATTACTGGCTTTAACCAGCTGCCACAGCATCAGCTCTGGGATTTGTATCCAGTAGTTGATGCAGCTTTGCACCAGAGTTTGGTTTGTTCTCGCAGAAATCACTTTCATTCTCTGCAGTTCTATCATTAGAACTGGAATTATTAACTCTTGATAGCAAGTTTTCAGTACTTACAGGTGTAGCCCTCTTGCTATCAATGTTGCTCAAAATTATCTCTTCCCTTTGTCCTATATGTGTGTTTCTCAGTTTTTCCTGAGTCAAAATCAATTAAGTATTCAACAACACAGAATATCTATGAAATATCAAAATAGTATAAATGGATTTTATTGGAATAGTACCCTCAATGCAGAATTTTCCATCCTCATCTGCTCAGAACCTTCAGTCAATTGAGTTATTTCAGATTTCAGTGACACATTCTCAGCAGTTAACATGTCAACTTTTCGTGCCAATTCTTCAGTCTCGGCCTAAACACAGGAACAATGAAAATAAGCTCTCCTCTTGTCAGATCAACACTTTCCCTATTTAGTTTTTCAATTTTATTTTTTGAGGGCTAAATGCATGTGATAGTAAAGACACTAACCACTTATGTCTTTTAATAGACAACATAAGAAACTATGGAAGGTTTGCAAGTCAAGAAAAGAATAATTTGTACCTGCTTCCTCAGCCTGGACCTTCGAGCAGATTCACGGTTAGATTGTTTCCTCCTCTCCCGTTTCAGCTCCCGCTCATTCTAAAGATTCAAACATACACATGGGAGATAATTGACCATCAGTAAAAGATGGAGGGTGCAGCATAATTATACATAAGCGTCTCTCATTTACTAAGCATTATCTGAAACATTAGAATGAATCAGACCTGTAACCAAGCTTCCGGAGGCACGGGTGCACAAGGTTGTGGGGCACTTGTGGGATTTTCCTTAGAATGAACAGTCAAAGGGTTCCTAAGCTCCAGTGCCGTGGTCATAGCTGAAGAAATTACAGGTCCAACTAACTTTCCAGCTACACTAGCTGGGGTAGCAGACATGAGCAGTTTTGAAGATGCAGTCTCTTTGGAAACTGGCCCATCTTGTGTCTCAGTTTTCCCTTCTCCATCTGCTTGTACAGTTTGGTAATATATAACCATCAAAACACATTATGTTGATAACTTAACTCCTCAAATTAATAGCCTAAGATACTTAAATATCACATTCTGGATGCAAGTATGTCATTTTCTTGACAATTGCATACAAAGCACACAAAAGCTTGACTGTATTAAGTCTGAAAACTGGGTAAAAGACCATCCAAGTATCAACTTACAAACACCCTAGTACCATACTCAATGATCTAGTTGACATCTCAAGTAAAATTGTGATCCAAGACAACTCTATTGTTTATCAAGATAAAACAGTGAATAGGACTATTAGAGTCATACCAGTGGTTGATGTTTCCTCTCGGCTTCTTTTCCTTTTTGTTTGATTAGACTGAGCATAAAATTATCATATTAGTATAAATTAATTCTTCTATTTGTCGGATCATTTTAAATGAAACACTGTTAGTAAGGACAAGAAAAATTGTCAATAGTGACAGAGTTCTCACCCCTGCAGTGTTGCCATCACTTCCATCGCTGGAACCCTCGGTATCCAAACTGTTCATATCATCATAACATTATTCAGTTTTCATATCAACCTACTAGGATAACTCCTGGTCGGGAGAAGAGGGAAGTAGAGTTCATTCCGATAATAATCATAACGAAAGAAATTTTATAGACAAACCTCTGTGACAGCCTGTTTTCGGCTCCACGCTCAGCACTCTCAGCATTGCAATTTCCTATTGACATTGCAAGCCCATCAAACCCTTTCAATTTCTTCATTAAACCCTGATCAGTATTTCCAGATAATTTTGTTGGTGATTCCACACTTGAAGGAGTCCCAGCCTGCATCGTTTTTCCAAAACAAACTCATCATAACTGATATTATTCAGGGAATCGATCATAAGATTAGGAACTAGGAATACATTTACGAGAAAATCAAAACTTACAGCAGGTGGAGAAGGAACTCCTTGACCATGTGAATGTGTCCCCTATATTTGACCAATAAAAATCATGAGTACGTGGGAAATTTTTCAATCACGAAGGTTTGTTACATTAAGAAGACAAAAGAATCAAGAGGTTAATAACAGCTGAAATGCACCCACATATGAATAACTTGAAAATACCAAGGAAGAAAAGGAATCACGTCTTAATATATTCCTAACCACTCCTAAAAGTCCAGATTTATAACCGAAAGTACACATATAATCATCTAATCCATGGACTGAAAAGTAATATATATTAATTGTTACAGCTACACATTCACACAGAGAACACTTACCATAGCAACTGCAGGGTGAGTATAAACCCCTCCAGGAGAATAAAATGCTGCATATGGTGGCCCGTAAGGTGGCATCATAGGCTGGAAGAAACAATAAGTTAGCAAATAAAAAGCACTTTAATATATATACCAGGAACATTAAAAAAATAAAAACACAGAAATGGTAATGGTAAAACAAAATAAATGTTTCTTTGTGGCACTACCTGTGGCGGACCCCACATATATGGGTGTGGAGCATGACCAGATGCCACGGCTGAGTTGAAGTATGGAGGAATGTTGACTCTTGGCCCATAATACTAATATACAGCAGAATTGTTGGCAATTGACAAGCGGAAATAAAGTAATAGGTTTCATCAGATCATTGGTTCAAGAATAGGTAAAAATGGAAAATACATGAACTAATTGGTGCTTGACCAAGTGTGAATAGTACTGTTTACACTACTACAATCTTTTATTGGCATAAAACTTAAAACTAATAACTTTTTTAAAGCAGTTATTTTGTTTTTAAAGTGAACTTAGCTAAAACAATAACATTGACATGAAGACTCAAGTAATTAAGCCACAAAGGAAATGATGGCAAGAGGTAGGTAACCTGCATGGCAGCCCAATCGGGATAGACATGAATGTTTGGCTGGTTTGCCTGATTGGTCTGATCCTGTGAACAAGGAAAGAAATAAATATTCAGGCACAAGCTTTATAAAATGTTTCATCACACATGATGCATAAACTGTTCTCGGCTTACAGTTGTTGCTGGTGAAGAAGGACTTCCAGTTTTAACAGATTTCCCTTCCTCACTGTTTCCCATGAGGCAATCACCAAAATAAAAGCACCGAATCAAATATGTCCCGACAAGTTATTCAACTGCATTAAAGAAGCTATGTTATTGTCAGCAAGAAAATGTTGCAAGGAAGACTAAAATATCATAAACAAGGGTTTATAACATACTCTTTTACTCTTAAGTGGCAGGAATGAATCACAGCATTAAATCAAAGGTGTGCAAAAGGTTCTTTCTAGCAACAGTACCATAACAGTGGAAATTTTGGTTTACTCCTTTAATGACTAGTTTAGAATTTAGACAACATACGCTACAAGATCAACTTCTGAAGTTTGAGATTGTGACGGTGTAAATACTATACAGATGGCATCATTGCAAAAAATACCACAAACAAAACGAATACTTAGTCAATGACAGAATGGTAGAGGGTAAACTATGTCTTTTTGCTACCCTACAATGGATAGAAAGCGATGAACACAAACTACCAATGCATTACATAACAAGCCAAACCCAAAGGACAATCTGAGAATACAATGACAAAAAAGCCCTCCAATTCCAAAATCCTTTTCCACTCTCATGGTGACAGAGGACTATTGAGAATCTAGAATTTGCTACCTGAACCATCATACTTTACAATTTACAGGCTTCACCCCTGATCCAAAAATAACACCTTCTCTTCTTCCCTTGTTTTTTTTTTTTCAGCTATTTCATACAAGAAACTAAATTCACAAAAACTAAAGGAAAAAAAAAGAATCAAAACACAGAAAGCACCAAATACAAATATTTTAACACATACAACACGAGATCCAGGGCACTCAAAACTCTAATCCCGTTGTTCTATTAACTAAAATATATATTTAAAAAAAAAAAAACACGATATGTTTGGTTTCCGTTGTTTCTGTAAATTTGCACCACTGCTTCCCCTAATCATAAAACTTCAAACTTTCATGAAACCAAAATCAAATATTTCTGATGTAGAATCAACACAGTACCGAAATTCCACGTACCTGAAAGATTAAGACCCCGAACTCTTGTCGTTACAAACAAAAGACCGAAAACAAAATTCCGAGAATGAGAAAAACAAAAAAAGGAACGAGAATTGGTTCAGGTGGGTTCGAAGTATCCTGAAATTAAGGTTTGGAAAAACAATTCCGGTGGTTCTCTCTCTACTTTCTCTCTCTTAAAAAACGAGGGAAAGAGCTTGCTTGGGTTTCAGAGAGAGAAGGAAGGGGTGGTGAAAAAGGAGGAGAGGAGAGAGAAGGGGCAATTTCCACGTCACCATACACGTGTCGTACCTATGAGCTGCGTATGCGTACGCCGTATATACGGTGGGTTGGGCGAGTGTGGTGGTTGTTGAGGTGGCCATTAATTTATTCCAGCGTCATCGTCACCGTACACGTGGTCACGCTTGTGGGGTCCACACTAGTTTATCCATCATGTGCGCTTACGTGGTCTTTCGGATTTAAACGTTTTTTTTTATTAATTAATTAATCCCAAGATATTTAGTACCGTTAAAATTAATAATATCTAATTTCAATTATCTTTGAATTTTTTTTATTAAAAAAATGCTGATGTAATTATATTGTTAATATTCTGTAAATATAAAACTACATGTGTTTGATCTGGGTGCAGTGTAATTTACATATTCAAAATAGTTAATAGTATTTTATGGTATAATTTTAAAAAAAAACTTATTTTTTAAATTCCCTTCTTAAAAATTTGATACAAATAAATTGATTTGTTTACATATATTACATGAAGATATTTCAGAAATAAAAACTAATTGATTTGTGTATATTTGAAATTATATCCAATATTTTTTTTATTTGAAGCATTTCTTGATCCGTTATCTTAAAAATATATTATACTATTTGTTAAAATATATTGTTATAATTCTTAGTTCTTATTTAACGAATTTATAATTTTATAAATTTACCATTAAACACATATTTTATTTTATTTTTTGTATTGGTTGAATTTTTTTATTCAATATAAAATATATTAAAAAAATAACTAAAGATTAAGATTATAAAACCTAATAAAAACTGCATATATTTAAGTGAAACGAAATTTAGATTTCTAAGGTTTGAAATTTTTATAAAAATAAAATATAATTAAGAAGATAAATTTCACCGACAAATAACTAATTAAATATTTTTCTAGAAATTAATTATGAATAAAATCTATAGATATTTTTTAATTCACCTATGACAATGATAAAGAAAATGGTTTTGGAATGGAAAAAAAAATCCGAGCAGATATTTATCTTTCTTTTTTCTGGTATTTTGCAATTAAAAATTTATTTTAATGATCTCTATAATAAATTATTATTTAAAAATTATATTAAGTAATGATTGAAAACGGTAAAAAAAATACAGAATCTGATTTAACAAAATTTAATGAATTCTTTGGAATCCACGAATGGATGTTTGGTCTTTCACTCCTTTGACGCCGCACACGCAGAAATTCGAAATACTTTCGGTATATATTTATGCTTTTAAAAATTGGTTAAGAAATTCTAACGTATTTTATATATATTTATGATTTTTTTTCTTCTGAAAATTTTGATTTTTAATATTGTATTCGGTGTAGGACCCACCGAACTATATTTTAATTAAGGAGAATTTAAGAAGAAGACTTATTTAAGTTTATTAAAATAAGTTTATTTAAAATGTGTTTTTAAGTTTCTTTTCAAAATTTAAAACTATTTACTAGCTTGTTATCCTTAATTATTTAAAATTAAGTTTAAAATAATAATAATAATAATAATAATTTAAATACTATATTGAAAAGGAGAAATTAATCGCATTATTCTTGGTGCAAAACTTTTTAGTTTACTTGGTTTTTCCTCTTTTGGATTCACGAATTTTTATAGCCGCTTAGCCTATTCTTTGATTTTCGCTCATGAAATGTGTTTACTAGCATTTTTTAGAAGACTGGATTTGAAGAATAAATTACTAGAATTAATGTGAGCTGAAAATCATATATATAAAAAGTTAAGTAATGTATAGGGGAAAAAATTAATTTTGTTAATTGAATATTATATTATATTCTCCATTAACTCATACTAGTTTTATAATAATATATTAATATTAATTTCATTAAAAATACTCAACAATATTATATTAAAATCGATGAATAGTTAATGATAAATTATTTATTAAATATAACATAAAATATATTATATTTTTTAAGTTTATAAATAAATATTATTTAGAATTTATTATTATTACGTACTTATCTGTTCGCTCAACTAATGAAATATAGCAAATTAGTGTTGATTTTAATTTTTAATGGCTAGTTCAATTTTATGTTATGTTTTATATTACAAAGGTTTAAAAACTAAAGAAGAATGATAGCAATGTTTGAGTTGCATTTTAAGATTAAAAATATAAAATAACAAATATTATTATGAATTTGTCTCTTATTTTATCTTTTAAATTTATATATTATATATATATATATATATATATATATATATATATATATATATATATATTAAATGCTCCATGAATTAATTTATAACAATCTAGATTTGTAGGTGAAAATTTTGTTTTAGTAAATTTCTTCTTTCCATGCTTCGAAGTTTAGAGGTAATAATCAGTATAAGAAAGATTTTTTATTACAATTATTTTAAACTTCGATTGTTAAATAATTAGATGTCGATTTTTAACCTAAATGTCATATAAGTCTTATATTAATTTATATTTTTTTTAGTCATATTTTCTTATAAATATTTTATCTAACAGTTTTTAAGTAATAACAATTGAAAATAAAACACAAAGTGTGAAAAACAATTAAAAATAAAATAGAAATTTTCACTTTTAATTTGGATGAAAAATCATTTACAAAATAAACAAATTCATAATAACAATTGTAATCTAACATATATTATAATACTCCATTAAACCAAATCTTAAAATATAAAATAATACAAAAAAATGAAACAATATTTCCATATATTATCTTTGTTATAAGCGAGGAAGAAAAAAGATTGTAGAAAGTGATATAAAGAAAACAAAAATAGATGAATGTGATAAAGAGATAATGAAATTAAAGAAATAAAAAGTTAAGTGAAATTCTCTTATTTGGAGGGAAAAATGAAAAATAAGGAAATGAAGATGATAACACGAATATGAAAATTTTAAATCTAGATATTTTTTATGATGATTTAATTTTGAATCATCAAAAGTATTTTTTATGTCGGTTCAATTTTGAACTGTTATAATAAATATTTATTATGACAATTTAATTTTTAACCGACATAAAAAAAGACTCATCAAAATTTACAATTTAAAAAATTATTTATTATAATGATTCAAAATTGAGCTAATATAAAATATATTTATTATAATGATTCAAATTTAAACTAGCATAAAAAAAATATTTTTACATTTATTCAAATTTAAACTATAAAAAAATATCTTATAATTATCACTACAAGAAAATCGCATATTTTCGACGAATTTGTAGCCATAAAAAAATGAGTCATTATCGACGGATATAAAATATTTGTGGAATTTAGTCTTATCGACGAATATATCCATCGGTAAAATAATAATTAGTTACAGACGGATATATCCATCTGTAAATTAACAAATAATTACCGACGGATATATCCATCGGTAAATTAACAATTATTTAAAGACTTATATATCCATGGTAAATTTGTCGGTAAATTAATAATTAATCCATCGGTAAATTAATAATTATTTATCGACGGATATTTCCATCGGTAAATCCATCGGTAGATTAACAGTTAATTACCGATGGATTATCCGTTGGTATAATTATATTCTAATAAAATAATTATTCACCTAATTAAAAAATTAAATATTTTTATTTAATAACTTAATTTAATCATAATTAGATTAATTTATAATAATTTATTAAATTAAATATTTTTAAAAAATAAATATTTAATTATATATAAATATATTTGTATTTATATATTTACGTGGATATACATTTATTTGTATATAAATATAATTTATTTGTAAATTATTATTAAAAAATTATAGTAACTTAGTGGTTGTAGTATAACTCCAACTCTAAGGTACTGGGTTAGAGAAAATAAATATAGTATACCTAATTTATTAGGTTACGATAATAAATTATGATTTATGGTTTTGATTCATAAGTTCATTTTTTAAATATAAACTCTGGAAAAGTTTCTACGATGTTTTTAGCTCATATTTATTTCTTAGATTACTATTAATAAAGTATGAGGAAAACTAACATTCATCTTAATTGTATATTAGGTTAACATTTGGAGAGAAAAATTGAAGTGATAATCTTATTTTTATACAAAAGTTGATTACTTTTTACGTAGAGAATTGACATAACTTAATCAAGTTTATTTATACGGTCTTGTGCTTTGAAGACATTTCATATTTCTGTCCATTTTTTTATATATTAGCAAAAAATATAAGCATAGTAATTTTCTTATTTTGTTTCTATTTACTAATTTTTAGAAACCTAAATGAAGGCTATGCAATATATTTTTCTCCATATGTTAGCAAGTAAACATAAAATCTTTAATTCCAATCTCATTTCCTTCCTCTAACAAATAATATTGCGTGAGTGTGCATGAATAACAACGTGGTGGATAAAATGTGACACACCTTTCTGATAAAATATGATCATATAATAATAGATTCACACAATACAAACATTAGATGGTATTGTTACTACTATTTGTGTATTCCAAAGAACCAAACACGGTGATAAAAAAGTGCAGTGGCAGGCACATCTGGCTTTGGGACGTGGAGAGCACTGAATGTCTCATGCATGCAGCTGCAGCTTTCATTGCATCTTTCACGCACCAAATTCATCTTCCATTTCCCATCACATCCTTTATCTCTCAACACCTGTCTCTCCATCAGCTTTTTTTTTTTCTTCTTATAATAAACTCTTTCTATTTGTGCAATATTATATATAATAAGTGTTTTTTATATAAGAAGATGCATATGGGTAGATGTTTGTGAAGGTCATGGAGAAGTAAAATAGAATTGAAAATGATATGAAATGTGGTGGGACCAAGGATGTGGTGTGGCACATTCATCTCATCAAGAATAGAAAAGGGAAAATGACAGAAGGCGCAACCACACCGTATCTGTGCCAGCCAGGAATTTCTGGCGCAAAAAGGGTGGGCCAGGTGGCGACGCCATCCACACGCCATATTACCGTATTATTATTTTCTCATCAAATCTTCACTCTATATTTTCTCGTTATTTCTCTTACAATTTTTTAAGTTTTGATTTGGTAAAGAAGTAGCAGAACTAAGTTTCCGATCCGATCCTAATTGAAGACGATGATGTGAATTTAAAAATAAAGAAGGAAAAATAAGAATTTGAATATAGATGGGTCCCACCCTAGATGAAACGTAAGAGGAAGCTTTCTTAGGTGATGTCGGTAAGAGAGTGGTGACGTGTCGAACATCATAGTGTGTGTGAGAGTGCGGCATGAATGAATGATTGATACGGATAGGGTTCGTTTGTCTGTTTGTTGCGTACCCAACTCCACGCGTTTTTCCTCCATACACCTTCTTATCACACCAATACCTACACTTCCATTCCCTACTCACTCCACCTGATCTACTCTATTCACACAATTCCCATCTCTATAACACTAAATTCTCCAACTCAAACATTCGACATTCAAATTACAACAACTGCACATTTATTATTAAAAAAAACTATTATTTTTAATAAAATATCAAAATCAATTTTAATATTATTTATTCTTTTTTTTTTGGAAAAATAATATATAACCGTATATAATATAGTTAGATTTAATTCTTATATTTAAAGTATTATTTATTTTAAAAAAATATTATGATTTTTGTTTTTAAAAAATATTTTAATAAATTTAAAGATATATATATATAATCTATCCTTAAACTCAACTAATACAAAAACTTTTCGCATGTCGCCACATAAAATATAAAAAATATTATTCCTTTTAGAACCGCATATTGCATGGGCACCGTATACTGATTCAATGTTTCAAAATAATTGTACTCTTTCTCTTGATATGGAATAAATCTTACGTTAAAAAAAGGTTCATATGTTGATGTTGCGTGAGGATTGTCTATTCATGTGAGATTTAGATTTGAAAGATTTAGATTTGAATTTCTAGAAGAGACAGGAGAAGAAGGTAAAAAAAAATTAATAAATTAAAGTTTAAAACCACACCATGATAATAATAAAAACACACATATACATCCAAATCTTACGTAAAATATCCATAAGGAGGTATCATATATATTTTCATTAACTGTCTATTTTATTGGAGAAACGATACTTTTGTTTTAGGGTTCCTTTCCTCTCTTTTATTGTTAAAAAAAATAAAAACAAAATATTTGTTCAAAGTCAAGAATCTTCAAACAGGTGTAAAGAATTTTCTTATAATTGTTACACTTGTGTAATATTTGAGCCATTAACATTGGATTAGTTAATGATCAAGTTTTTGAATTATTTGTATGAATAAAGTTTGAATAGTCGAATTTATTAAATACCTTCGTACAAAAATAAACATAAAAAAAAGGATGAGTTGTGTTTATACAACATAAAAAATTTCGAACCTTTTTCTTAAAATCAAACGCAAATGAATGTTTTGTTTGGGCTGTTGAAAAGTGTAACTAAAACCCTCAAAATAATTTCGAAGACGATTCTTCATATAAACATCTTCATTTGAATAATTAAACAACACAGAATAAGTTATGATGAGAAAGAAACAGAATGAAGATTTTTATGTTTGAGATTTCTAAAGTGTTGAGTCTTAGAATTTTACACTCCAAAAGTTTCTCATTGAAAAGTTAACAGGATGAAGGAAAAAAAAACGTTAAAAACCTTTTTTCCTACTTCAACGTTATCTATTTTTTGCCAGGCTCACCTTAGAGTAATTTCATACTACATTAGAAGTAAACTTGTAAACTTCCTCAACACGATTAGTTCATAGAATTAGTCCTTTCTATTTAAACATATATTTCTTATTTGGTTTGTTATATTAAGCATGCATATAACGTCATGAATAGTTTTCAATTTAAACACTTTTTATTTCACAAACTAATGAATAAGCTTTAACTTTAAACCATCTAGAAACTTAGGTTTTAAGTTGGTCTATAAACTTTAAGCTATTTTATAATTTTTGTTTGGTAAAAAAATAGTGTCTAGAATATGAGACTAGAGTGAAGAAAAAGAGAGATTAGAGTTTGTAGAGGAAAATATTTTAACTTTTTGTTGTTGTTGATTTCTATATTTTGATCGAAACTTTTAAAGTAAAAATATATTAATTTTTTAAAACTTAAATTTCTAAGTGTTTGTATCTATAATAAAAAAAATGTGAGCTTCATTGAAAACGAAAATAGGAAAGGATTTAATTATTCGTAGATAACGAATTAAAATAATTAATTATTCCAACAATTATGGAAGATCAAAATCACATATTAAATTATAGGAAACTATATTTATAATAAATGGAAAATTTAATTTATTATCTCTTTTCCATGTGTTTTTTAACTAATTATGTTAATTTCGGGTCAATATTAATCTTTTTTATTATAGGTTTTAGTTTTTTTGTTTAACTAATTTTTATTTTAAATAAATAAATAATTATTCTCTATCTAAGACTTTACCTTCTTTATTACGTTTGTATTCGAAAATAACATGAATAAAATAATATAATTATCATATGTTCTAATTTAGAGATATTGGACTAGTTTATTGATCATTTTGTATTTAATAAATGAGATAGGGTGGAAAGTTTTAAAATTAAATTTTGTTGTCCCCCTCATAAATTAAATTAAGTATTTTTAATTATAATTGATTTTAAATGAAAAAATAACTTAAGAAAAATTCTATCATTAATAATAATTTAAAATTAATAAATAATATGTACTAAATGAATTTAAATATTAAAAATATATATAAATAAAAAGTGAAGTGAACAAAATAATTAGGATGAAACAAAAAATTTTATTTATAAAAAATTAATATAAAAAATTAATTATCATATAAAAATAAATATATTATATAAAATATTTATTAATAAATTTAATATTATTAATTAAATTTAAATTTTAGAAATTTAAATTTATTTCATTATTTATTCTTTATTTTATTTTAAAAAATATTTATAATTTTTTTATATATTATTAAAACTCAACTTAAATTTTCTTTATATATATTTTAATAATAAAATAGAGTATTATATAACATTAAAATAACTAATTAATTTAATATAAATAGAAAAATATATCAACATCTCATATTTTTATATTAAATTATATACGTTAATTTATTATAATAATAAATACAAATAATAAAGAAAAAATATTTTTTTATTTCAAAATAATTATTGTGATGTATCTCATTTGTTTTTATAACATATCATCTTATGCATTTAATGTGAATAGAAAAAAAATAATTTTTTATGTTTTGATGTGAAATTATGAAAAAAATATATAAAAATAAAAAAATGGTAAAAAAAATATAAAAAGATAAAATTAGTGTATGATATAAAAAATTTGAAGTGAAAAAAAATTAAGAAAAATAAAAAGTTGTAAATAGAACAGAAAAAAATAAATATAGGTGAAAATTAATGTAAATGAAAAAATATAATATTTATTATAAGTGAAATTATAATAAAAAATAAAATTTTAGATATATTTAAAAAATAATTCGTATTTAATCTTTTAAAAATAATTATTATATATAAAAAATAAATAAAATTTTGGTTGGGAAGAATGGTGTCACTGACCGTAAATCCGCCCTGGGAGATGATATAAATTTTTTAAAATAATTTAATTATTTATAAAAATAAAAATATATTGATCAACCCGTCCTACTTCATACTTTGACACGTGCGAACTACGAAATCATGTAAGGTGAAGCTAATCTCACTGCAGATTAAATATTTAACTCTAGCCGCATTTTTTATGACATGATTATGAGTTTGCTCCCTTGACGAATCATGAATTGCCACCCATATTCCAATTTATATTCAATTCAATCCACAAGTTTTGGGTCATTGAATTCAAGGAAACCTATAAACGTTGAACACAAATACATCCTTAACCTTTTCTACTCTACTGATAAAAAAATCATGTCATTATAACGTGTTTGATTTGGATTAATTTGAACTGTTGGACGATAGTTATGTAATTGTTAGATGCAAAAAAAAACTAAGATATTAGATGTAATTTTTCTATTTATGATTTTAATTCCTATATTTTAAAATAATGACATTTAGCTTTTCACTTTTAAAAATAGTTAGTTTCAATCAAATTGTCTAAATTAAAATTCTAAATTTAAGATATTAATATTGACTAAACTCGTACTATATACAATTGGCTTGATATTTTATGATTATTTTTTTTTAATTTGTTTTCTTGAATATAAAAGAAAATAATATATATGACAATTGGTATTAACAAATAATAATCTAAACATGACGATATTTTGTAAAAGTTAGCATTAATATCTTAACAATCACGTCTCAACTCATTCAAATGAACCAAAATTGAAACTAAATATTTGATTTTGAAATGAGAAGGTGGAATTATAAAATATATAAAAAAGTACGAAATTAAAATGATATAAAATAAGAAACGATGGTTGTTGCATTGCATGTGAGTGGGCCTAGTGGGGTGTGACGCGAGCATTAAAGGAAACACGTCAGATGGAAACGATGACCGTTGATCTTGTCTGGAGGATGCGATTTTTACGGTGGATTTGGGTTGTGACGTGGTCTCATCTTTTCTCTTCCAATGTCTTCCTTTCTCGCTACCGACAAAATGACGTGTCCCCGCATTCACATGCTCTTTCTTTACAACGCCACACACGGTGGGGCCCACTCTCTTTTCTTCTGGACCATTTTGCCCCTACCCGCCGCTCCCTCTATTGCCCTTTTTCTTCATGTTCACATTTGCAAATAAATAAATTAATAATGAATGAACGTTAACCATTAGACTCTCTCATCTCATCAAACAACAAATTTTCTACGTAAAAATATCAATAAATTACCTTTTCTTCTGACGTTTTGGTTAAAGAAGAAGGTAAGTTCTTTGGATTGGGCTAGCTAGGCCCATCTTAGTGGGCTCAGCCCATTTTCCCTTTCCATCACATACTTTATGGTACAATTTAACACATTCCTTCTCTTGTTTAGTTTAACAATTATCTTATTTATATACTCTTCTAATGAATTATGATGAATGCATATACACCCTTTTAGTCATTGTTCGACAACCAATATTACCAATTTGATACATTATGTAAAGTAACCTACAATAGTACAAAAATATTTTATTTCTGTTTTTTAATTCATTTGTTGTTTTAGATCATAGTTTCCAAGAGTTCTGGTGTTTATATCCTAGTTTATATGAGCTGATTCTATATACTAGTGATTTATGACTAAAAATAAAGAAAATATTATTGTGTTTTTTGACTCTTGCTCTATTCAATGAAGCATATCATAAACAACAAACAAATGCCTCCTAAACACATATGTTTTTGTTCTCTTATAATTTAAAGTTTTTTTTTCAACTACAAAGCTATTTTTAAATGCTCAACTTGTTAACGTTTGGATCTATGGGTTGTCACTTTCATGATTGTTTGTAGTTCAAACAAAATAAAAATAATTATTAGTAGCATTATTCTTTGGTGATTTTTTTTATTAGTAGAAATTGGAAAAATTACAAAATTAAAAAACCAACACACTTGAGCAAAATGTTTGACACCATTTTCATATATAGCACCATTGCATAATGTTTTGATCATTTTAAAGCTCTTTCAAAAGATAGTCCACAATAATAAAAATCTACAAGTGAATTTTATTTTTTTCTATCATTTTCTTTTGTATGTAATTTTTTCTTTTTCTTTCTTTGCTTTACAACTTATCATAATGAATAATCTGTTTAAAACTAATATTTTCTTTTATATATAAATAATATAATTAAATTTTTCTTTTGATAAATCTAGGATTTTTACTTAAAAGAAGATTGGAAGTCAAAGTTAAGTATGGTTATGGATAGTTTTGAATATGTTATACATCTAGATTTTATTTGATGATTAATATAATTATTTTCGACCATTATATGAAACAAATCCAATAATTGAAATAAGAAGAAAATTGTTATTTGTTTATATATTCTTAAAAAGAAATTCAAGTGAAAACAGAATATAAAATCAAAGTGGTATCAACACCTACATAAATATACGATGTTTATGTTGTTGTTCATTGAACGATTGTTTTGTTGATAAGGATGAAAGTTAAGAGAGTAATGTTTATGTAATCATTTGTTTGCATAAAGTATCACAAATACTACAAGAGAGAAAAGATGAAAACTGAATCACCAAATATTAATGTCCAACATTTTAATTCTCAAGGATTGGTTGGGTTCTAAGTGATGAAGCTAATGGTAATTTAGTTTCTCCAATCCAAAATGTGTCAAAAAGCTCACCTCCTGCTGAAATTTTCTCCATTTTTCTTATTTTTCTCTTCTTGACCTCCTTAACCAAAGCTAACAAGATCAAAGACGAAATGACCAACCCAAAAAAACCTACTACAAACCCCAACACCCACCATGTGGTAAATCTTTTCCCTTGACTCTGAGAATGAGGTTCATTTGGAGAAAGGAATAATGGAATTACAAGAGTGTAATGTCCTTGGCTATGTGCTTCACAAACATATGGTTTAGTCATGTTTTGTAATTTCACCAACCCATTATCACTAAACACGGCACAAATTGGAGTGCCATTTCTTCCATGTTCATCAACATGAGGAAACCAAATTTTGATGGGATCACCATAGATGGTAAAGTTAACCTTCTCATCTATGAATGTTGATTTTGAAGAACTGTAAGCCATAACACCAAAAACTGGAGCCACCATTCTGTGGTTAGGCACATTGTAGTAATGCGAAGACCAATTGCCCAAGTTTTCATATAAAATGGCTATTCTTTTATGAATAGGTCGTGGCATAATTCGAGGTGGAAGATTGACGAAACTGTAATTTGTTCCTCTTGACCATAAATAAAAACTGCGCAATCTAACAACTGAAACTTCCATGCCTGTTAAGTTAGAAGGAGGGGAAATATTGTAGAAAACACCAGTTCTAGGCTTTTCTATCTCTTGATTTGCTTTCATGCGAAGAAAGGAATCCAATGAATTGTGCTCATAATGAGTCTGTGAGCCTTCAACCCTAGATGATAAAAGCAAAGACACAAGTAGCAATGTAACTTGCCACCATCTATGAAACTCCATGAATGTCATCCCAAAAGCCTTCTTCTGTCTCTGATGTTGAAGTCTTGAATGATTTTCATAAAGATCCATAGATGCAATAAACCCATTGAAGCTTTTATGATGGAGTAGTAATTTTGCTACTCATGAATAGAAGGATACGTTTTCTCACCACAAACACAAACTTGACTTTCTTTTCTTCTAATGTGAATAAAGAGTAACCAAAGTTTTATGGAAAACTTTGGCTGAGAAGGTGCAACATACCAGAATCTCTTTGCAACATTGGCTTTCTTTCTCGTCTTTCTTACTACAAGAGTTCTTATGACACATATGTATGAAGACTTGTATCTGTTTCCTTGGTGATGTAACGTAATGATGACACTTTATGAATTTGGTTGAGAAGTTAAATGTATATCGCCATAACAATGATTAGGTTCCAAAAAGGAACAAGAAGACAAGCCTGAACTCTTCAACTCTTTTTATGTAGGTGGAGATCCTAATGGAGTTTCTTGTGCCTAAAAATGAGAGGTATATGTGGGAGAATGTGGTTGTAGGGAAATTAATGAGGCGATGAAATATGAGTTAAAATGTTGTATTGTAATGACATTGGTCAACAAATGAAAAGGGCATGGAATCTTTCAGAGATGGTGATGCCTGATAGGATGTTATTAGTTATTAACTATTTGTCACTATTAATTATTATATATTCCAACGACATGGATATTTATTCAAGCACATATTTTGGTCCTACTTGCATTTTATTTAGAGTTTCGGTCAAAAGATAAAAGGGAAAGAATGGTTGGTTATGAGTTGTGCCAAGGAGGACTTAGGTGAACAATCTCATACAACACATGGGGTAGAAGCCATGCACCCCAATGCCTATTTTAGGTCAATGATTTGTTGGAGCAACTTATTATTATGTGAGTTTTAAATTACTAGTATTATTGTCATTGATCTAGTTTTAAAAGTATAATAATTAGTATAATAAAGTTCAAAATATGTTAATTATTTCCTAACATGTTTGATTAGATGAAATTTAGCTTAAATTCTAGAAGTAAAAATTCATGTTTTAGTTTCATGATGGAAAAAAATTTGGTTAAAAGTGTAGTATTTTCTAAGATGTTACAGTTAGTCATTAAAAAAAAAATTAAAATAAAACATTAAAAGAAAGAAAAATATCTTTAAAATACAATGATAGTGCTCAAAATTAACTGTTGAAACATTTTGTTATATGTACAACCTATTTCATCTCTAAGATGAAGTATAAATTTTGAAGTTAAAGGGGATATCTCAATAATTTAAGTGAAATCACATGTCTGAATCTTATTGCAAGGGAATCTGATCTTTCAATCTATCATGGTCTAGACACAGAAGCAATTGGTCCCATATATGATATAATTCCGCGTTCTATACTCATATGACTTAAGTTTCTTACACATGAAGAAGTTAAGAGATAATGGTTTCCATTCAGAGCCATATACATAAAATTTGCTACATCATTTTAACAATGAAATGGGTTCATTACAGGGGCAATAGAGGTTGAGAGGATTCTATTCTACATCAAGGGATACATACGACTCTTATACAGCACATAAGAGCAAAACAAAAACAAATGGTGCTCACAGAAGATAAACTTCACTTGCTACCTGCTAACACCATTCTATTCAGTTCCAGTAATTTTCTTCTTCAGTACCTCAATGTCTGTAGCTAGCTCCTTCCTGCTAGACTGTATACAAATACACATAAATTACTTCTGAGATGTACACTGAATAAGACATGTGTTGCAGAGGCATAAAAGGGTAAGTATCTCTCTTGGTAAAAAGGTGATCACTGAATCACTTTTGAATTTATTCACTAGCTCATTTACCCCAAGACATCACATCATAGCACCCAAAAGGAAAAAAAGAAAACAAAACAAAAACTACAACTGTATTACACCAATGCAATCTCAATGCATGGAAAAACAAAACATTCTAAAATCTTAAATAGTAAAGTATTCATGGTGTATATTACTTACCTTGAACAGAAGGTATCGGTAGACAAACCATCCAGTGTAACCTAGACCTACCAACTCCATAATCTTTGGAAGCTGAAACATAAATAGTATTAATTCAGATTGGTTCACCAAGTTTTTTTACAACTTTAAACTCAAAGCATATATAATCAAAAGTCATAATACAATAGAGCAAAAGTGAACTAGATTCAACAGGTGTGATGGCTTACCAAGGGAACTGAGTTGATTGCGCTGACAAGAATAGAAGATAGCCAAACGGCAACTAAAGCCCCACCACCATAAAGTAGTACGGTAGACTTGTTTTCAACAGCATCCCACTGATTATGATAAATGGAGGATATTATTTCCACTTGGATAAAACTAAACATACTGTTTGTTTGGTCAGAGGGGAGGGGTAGCAAGGGAGAAAATCCCTCCTCCTTTGAACCAAACATTGTGTAAAATAAGTGTTGGCAACCAGAGAAATCGTATGATTGTGGTTTTATTAAAAGGAAGTTCAGGGCATATAACCAACGTGTTGAAATCAGCCAAGTAGTAAAGTTCTTGCCTTTTCCTTCAAATCTGTGAACAACTCATTGGCATCTACTGCGGAAGATTCCTCTGAAGAAGCTCTGGTAAGAAGCAGAGAAGATTTTTGGGACACTGATAAAGGAAAAGAAACACAACAACTTAAAATGATTATATGACAAATGAATAAAAGAAAAATATATGAAGAAATAACATGACTGAGCTAAATAACTAGTGCATTGAAAATGCAAAAGAAGAATTACTAGTCCTAAAACTACAAACACAAAAGGCTAAACCAACCAACCAACCAACCAAGTGTGTATAACTCTTGGACAAGTATTAATTGGTGGTGGGTATGAATTGTCCCATTCACATTGCAGAAACTAGCTTGATTTTCTGGATTAGACTTTGATTTTGCCAAGAGTATCCACTCAATACAAGATGTTTAGCACCCTCATCAATTTCAAAATGCAGAAGTGTTTCCTTTATACAATGAGCATCACCTTGGACAGGGATGATCAAAACATGGAATAAGTTCAAACTAGGTACGTACAAGACAATCCTACTCAATCAGTTAATCCTCTCACCCACTTGAAATCTAAGAGTAAGAACTTTAAATATCAAGAATAAAGCCATAAAGGATTAAAACACATAAAAGAGGATGTGAGAGGAAAGAGAGATAAATTATTTCATGTGAGAAGAAGATAAAAGATCCGGACAACAGCATATTAGCGCTGACAGACTTCAAATCGAAAATACAATCATATTATCTATGATATTAATAAAGCAGCATACTTCATCAGTTTATGTAACTGAAACTTTTTTTTTTTTCATTTTCCTGAGGTATTTTCTGCTGAAACCAATCTTCGAGGGTCGGAAACTAAACAGTGGCATCACCCAAAAGGAATTTGAACGTGGTTCATCATTTCATCGAAGTCTAACTAACCCCATTAGTCAATCAAACCAATCTAATGAAAAGTTTCTACCCAGTTGTTTGGAGTGACCAAAGTTTGCCCCTTTTTGTCCATTAAATTTAGACAAAACAAGATTTGATATTTAACACTATCAAGGAAAATGCCATACCAAATGAAAAAAGAGAAGAAAAAAAAAAGTGCATGTCAGTTGTAAAAGGAAAGCCCTTTTGTTTTACAAAATTTCAAAACAACTTACTAGAAAAACGAAATATTCCTGAAAATGAAAAGTTTTGAAACATGTAGCAAGACCAACAAGGAAAAGGAGAAATGGAATCAAAGAACACCTGAAAAGTGGTTGAGGGAAGGTGAGAACAAGGTGGTGCTGGTGTTGGTGACACGTGGAGGCAGAGAAGGCAAAGCAGAGCAGCGGGTAACGTTGGTGGTGGTCGGAATCCTAGGTGGAAGTAGCACCGTCACTGCCGCCGCCGCTGCCATTATTAATATTATGAATTGATTTGAGAAATTTGAAGAGTGTGATGGGTATCACTCTATCTATCCCCAAACCAAGAAATTGGCACTTTGGTTGGTCTCACTTTCTTCTTCCTATTCAAATTCAAGAGATTTTTTTTTTTTTATAAAAAAAAAAAAAGTAGAGAAGAACATGTTGCTTACACTGGCTTGTTATCCACTACCATAATACAATCTGGGAGACCTATTCCAACTACTTGACACGTGGACTAACCTCGCTCCCTCATTGGGCACTTCCCTATCTTCTAAATCCACATCTCTATCAAAATTTTAACTCCTCCCAAAATCAACCCTACCAAGCTTACACTCTTCTATCATACCCACTAATGAATGTAAGGGAATTGTTACTTATAGTTCTAAATTTTATTAATTTTTTTAACATACTTCTCACTTTTCATTTTGAAATGTTAAATCTTTTAAGCTTAAAAACTACCCTTTTAGAATGTTGATGACAAATTTTAATTTCGGAAAATGATTTTCGGAAATCAACTTTTTATTTATGTTTTATTTGGTATGTGTTGAATATACTCACTTTCTCAATGATTTTATAAAAATATTGTAAAAATGAAATTATGAAATTTTGAAAAAAGTTAGAGGAATATGAATTTCATAATTCATTGATAAACAAACTAGGAAAAAGTTTTTTTTACAAGGATAAAAAAAAGAAGGGTAACCAAATGTTGAAGTTTTCTGCTTCTATAACTCAACAATGCAAAAGTTGTTCCTTAATGTATAATGTGTGTTTCACTTTTTGCCATTGTAATTTTTTTTTTGGAACTATTTCTTAAAATTGAAATTTTAATATTTTGAAAACATTTTTTCAGAAGTGTTGAAATTTTTTTACATTATATAAAAATAGTTTCCAAAAACTGATATTGAAAATGTTTTGAAACTTTAATATTTCAGAAATTACGATTCAGAAAAAATATATTCTAAAAAAGTTTACAAAATAATTGAGAGGTATAAAATAACTATCGCTGGACTTGTGAATTCACCAAAAAAACTGGGTCCTGTATCCTGCACCGGCCCATTGAAGTTTATTTGGGCCAGCCCATAGCCTACCTTCACTCTCCCATTGCTCTTTCTTGCCCTACCTCTGCGACCCACACTCACGTAACTCCAAACCACCACCGACCCATCACCGGAACCATGCTCCGCCTCGCAAAGCCGAACCCTTTTCCCTCCGGACACCACCTCATCCAGCGCTGCTGCGTGAGCGGCACCGCGAAGGGCAAGGCGAAGATCAAAGCTGGCCAAGCCCTGAAACGCTCCCGCATCACCACTAAGAAATCCGGATCCGAATCGCAAACTGCAGATCCACCCATGTCGCGCGAGCGCCAGGAGCGCGAGAACCTCTACGAGCGGTGCCTCCAGGCCCCCACCCCGCTCCGCTACCTCACCCCAAAGCAGCGCGAGCGCGAAGCGGAGCGCGAGAAGATGGGGCTCATCAGCAAGGAACGGCAGCGAGAAATCGACATGATGAGAAAAAAAGACAACAAAATTAAGGTTTCGGAGAAACCCACAATAATTGGGACACCCGGGTTGGACTATATCTCTCTGGGTATGGTGGATGTGGAGAAGTTGCCCAAATATGAGTTAACGGTTGAAGATGGGAGGAGGCTAGCTAAGGAGTATAGTAGGGTTTTGATGAGGGAGCATAGGGCGAGACAGGCTGCGGAAACGAACCTTTTGAGGATGAAAAAGGAGGCCATTGAGGCTTTGCCTGAAGGGTTGAGAGAGGCTGCTTTGGTTCCTGATTTGAGTCCTTTTCCTGCTAAAAGGTTTATGGCTACGCTCACTCCTCCCAGTCAGGATTACATTGAGCAGGTTAGGGAAGCTGCTAATAAGATCAGTGGGACAGAGAAGATTAGGTGATTTTTTTGTTGGAATGGAATTGATTTTGTTTGTGAATTTTTTTCACTGTTTGGTGGAATGGCATGGAATAGCAAATAATGTTGGATGTTTCTGGACTGATTGAAATAGGATGTAATAGGATGCGAATGAAATATATTTAGCCTGATGTTTTTTATTGTTGTTCTTGTTAGTTTGAGAGTTTCTGCAATGCTCCTATGGGATGGGATTGAACTAACTTGTTATTGTTTAGAGGCATGGGATAGCCGGTTTAAATGATTTGTTTGAAGATGGATGAAATGAGACGTGCTGGCTAGCTGACTTACATTGTTTGAAATTGTAAGGAATAAAATGTGATGAAATGATGGTTTTCTTTTGTTTTCTCTCATTTTGAAGTATTGGATGAAATTAACTAGTTTTCTGACGGTTTCAGTTATTTTCTGAACATTGAAATGGAATGAAATACCTACTACTGATATAATGTTATTTCATCATACAGTTTTTGCACGATTCTGTTTCATTTCACCCTGTTTGTAGATGAAAAAATTGAAAGGTTTCGGTTTTGAATTGTTTAAATGAATCCTTAGTGTGTGATATTGTCGTTGTTATGGTTGAACTAGTTTCTTTTTTGTGAAATGAAACTGAAAAATAATTGGAAAAAATGAAAGACCAATTAAGAGGAAAAGTTATGTTTGAAAATTGGTTTGCTGGATATTATACTCAAAGAAAACTGATTACTTGTTTGGTGCACACTGGAGTGGGATTGCTCTGTGTTGTTTACTTGTTTGGAGTGAACATATTAATGGCTATTATTAGTACAGATATCAAAGACAACAGCTTCAAATCTTAACTCATTGCGTTGGAGTGGATTATTAAAAAAATTCAACATGTCAAATTACTGAATTACATGTGAGTCAGTTGCTGAATGAAAGAGTGATCCTATTGAGAAAGTGTCACTGAAGGTTCTGAGCCGATGAGGATGAAAAATTCTGCAATGATGGTACAGTTCTCATATTATTCCCTTATACTGTCGTGACGTTTCATAGGTATTCTGTGATAGAATACTTAATTGATTTGGACTGAAAAAACACTGAGAAATATTCAACTGGGACAAAGGGAAGAGATGATAGAATGAGAATGATTTTTGTGAGAACAAACCAGCAAAGCGGCATCAACTACTGGATACAAATGATTTGAAACCAGTAATTGCACTAGCTGATTCATTTTGGCAAATTACAAGCCCAAAATTATAGCTTGGTGCTAACAGTTTTTAGAGAGATGGATCAACAAAATTTTACAATCTAGATCCATTTGACCATGACCAGAATTAATTCCTTGCACTTTAACTCTGTATTTTATTATATTTAACAAAAATGGATGACAACTTAAGAAGTTTGTAAATTGAAGAGGTTTGATGTAAACTTCCTGATGGTGGTGTCTGACTTAAGGAATTCTGACTTTTTATATAATTCCCAAAAACTTTTTCACCAAGGAAATGATTTATTTATATAATAATGTTTTGGAAATTTTATAAAAAGCTAATAAATTTGCTTCTACAATTAATTTAAATAAAATTAAAATAGATTATTTTAAAATTATTTTCATTCAATATATTTATAACGATTGTATTTTATATAATTGATGATTAGCAATAATTTGATTTTTTTACATAATTTATTACAACAATAATTTGAAATATCTTTGATAGGGTCTTTCAATTAGCATATGTTTGAACGAACTTATAAATAAGTATTTTTTTTAGAAATTTTTTTTTCATATATTGAAATTAATTTAAATATAAATGAATTTATAAAATTTCATCTATATAATTATCTAAATTATTATTTTTAACTTGGGTAGAAATTAATTTTAATTAATAAAGACTTTTTTATTCTAAAAATATTCATAAAGAAGCTTGTTCAATCATATGATGATATATACACGAAGTTTAAATTTAAAATTTTACATTAAGAGAGATTTAAGTCCAATGTTATTTAGACCGATAAATGTTAACTGATTATATTTATATTTGTTGAAATAGTTGTAAAGATAATTTTCATCACTTAATGGTCCGTGGAGACAACAAAATACTAAAAATAAAAATTATATTTATCCCAAGTTGATGATGATGGAGGGAAAATGCAAAATCAATGAAATTTTTTACAAAAGGGAATGCACACTAAATTCAAGGTGTTCTGGAAAAAATTACAAAAAGCAAGTGTGAGTGGGCCAACAAAACCAGACAAATTCATTAAATTTATGTTAATTACTGTATAAAGTCGAATTATTGAAAAAAAAAAAAAACTTCGTGGAACGATCTACATTTCTAATTAGTCTGGTTAGAAATGCGAGAATGTCTATTTTATCTCCGCTTTAAAATATTATTTATTTTAAAATTTTACTTTATCATAATTTTATCTTTAAAATATTATCATAAATTAAAAAATTATATATATATATATATATATATATATATATATATATAGATTATAAATTAATTACTTATTAACTTTAGCATTTTCTTGTTTTGGTAGCCCTACTATTAAGACTTTGTTTGGTGGGTTTTATAAGGTGTTCGAAAACATGTACATATATAAATGTGAAAATCACATATCTGATTTGTTTTCAAACAGAGTCGAAACTGGGTCACTGTTGAGGGAGTAAAATTTTGGGCCTCACTGGGCCAATTCTAGAAACCATTCTCAGTATTTCCATTGAGTTTTGAAGCTGCTGCAACTTCGTATTTTAAAGAAATGAGGCAAAATCGTATCGTGATTTATACATGGCGTGATAACGTTTGGAATTATTGATTTAGCAAATTTAGAACCTGACACTTAACACTTATCTATTTTTTATATCTTCATCACACTGTAGGTGCTTATTGCTTGCAATAAGCTTAAAAATGTCATGCTTTTCTGGTTAAAATCCTTGCTTATTATGAATGGCGTTACCATAATTAGTGCAGTCTGTTCTACATTAAGCATGAAATAAATCTATATTCACTTACATTTATGTTTTGATTTATTATCATATTTTCAAAACAGGTAAGAGGAGGAAGCTAGATTTCGAATGACACCAGCTCCACAACCTTAATTACCACGGAAATACCTTCCACAATTTCCACCCACACCAAAACTACAGACCAAGCAGCAAATGCACACACAGATATAAAATTTGTCCATATAATAATAATAAAACCATTTGAGAATATTAATTAGTTTAGTCTATAGGTTGATGCTTTTCAAAAAAGTTTAGGACCTAATTTGAAAGGTTTTATAAAATTTAGGAGACTACTTATCAATACTTTCAAGACTAATTAGATAATATACTTAGTTAGTGGATTACTCAAAATCAACCACTCTAACAAATAATTGCCCAGGAAATAAAATCCCATCAAATATCAAATTAGTGGAAATCAGAGTACTGCCAGGACTAGGTTCATGAGGGATCGAGCCATGTGTTGCTTAAATGGGCAAGACATTGAAACGTAGGATATGTGAAACATTATACTGACCTGCCTACACCCAATGGCCTTAGTTGCCTGAATAATTGAAACATAACAATCAAAGCCCTTCACTAACATTAATATAGGACACTATCCTAAATGAACAAACGAATGGCTACGCTAGCCTATGAAAAACAAGCTCCAAAGACAGAATAATACATTAGCAACTAGCAATGAAAGGCTGCAAAGACTGAAGACTCCTACCACTAATTTTCCACAGCAACAAAATAATTTGACATTTCAAGCTATAGTCACGCACACAACTATTATAAGTCCTTCAAAACCCTAACAAGAATTACATTCAAATTAAACTTCTCATGACCTTGTGTTGTTGCGTCTGGTGATGATGGAGAAACATGGCCAAAGGACCAAGAAAACAGGTCCAAACACCCTTAACATCTTCAATAAAAAAAGATAATAAACACCTTAAACTAAATCAACACCCTTACACTCATAAACCAAAACAAGGTTTTAAAAAATAGCCCATAATTGTAGCCACAACATCAAGGATTTCAGTAACTGCAATTACAGCCACTTCAGTCGCTTATTTGCAGTTTCCTTTGAACAAAACCACAACCATGACCGAGATTAAAAACCTTGGCCAAAACTACTTCCATCAACTAATAACGTGTTTGGTTTCACGTGTTGGATGTAATTTTTTAGCTTCAAACTTCATTTTTAAAAACTAATGGTTATAACTTTCCCGTTTTGGACATGATTCGTCCATCTAGACAAATTTACAAATTGGGTGCTCGGACACTTTTTTGGCGTCAAAGATCGGATGTTTGGATAACCCTGTGCTAGAGGTGAATCCAAACACAGCAAAACACACTACAAGTTCATGCTTAGATAAGCTTCCAATAGTATGCTCAGAGCATGTTCAAAACCGTCATCCAAACGTGTACTAATCCATCTCATTCACAACCGGAACAAAAAAAACATAACAAAATAATTAATCAAGAAACACAGAACATAACCGAACAGAATAGTGTAAGTTATAACACCATATAACAGGCTCTCTTATTTCATTAAAATTCACCATCCATATATACCACAGTACACAGACACCACATAGTTAATCCATACATTCCAACAGCACCCCATCATAACAATTATATAATCTCAAAAAAAAAAAAAAAAAAAAGAGTCAAAAACCGTTACCGAAACCCTAAGATTTCAAATCTTATCGATATCCTCATCCTCGAACTCGATATAATCATTGCCCGCGCCGTCGTCCTCCTCGTCGAGGCCACCGCCAATGCCTTCGTTGAGCCTGGTGCTATCGGGAAGCTCACCGTAGGCTTTGAGGAGGCGAGCCTCGTCAGGCATGTATTTGAGGATGACGTCGGCCTTGTCGTCCTGGTAGTCGCGGAGGCCGACAAGGATGATGTCGCCAGCGGCGATCCAGACCTTCTTATGCATCTTGCCGCGGATGTGGCAGAGGCGCTTGGTACCGTCGATGCACATGGCCTCGCAGCGGCCGTTTCCGAGCATGCGGAGCACCTGTGCGTACTCTTGGCCGTCCTCCTTGAACACCAGCTCCCGCTTCTCGTCGTCCGCCTCGTTCTTCCCACGCTTCCGGTTCTTCCCTCCCTTTCCCTTGTTCTTCGGCATCCTCGATTCGAAACCCTAACAATTGATCCTCGCCGAGACTGCTTTTCTCTTCCTGTTTCTGTTTCAACAATGGAGAATTTGCGATGCTTGGTGTTGTGTTGTGTTGAGTTGAGACGCAAGGAAAGTGGGGTCGTTTGGGTATTTGTTTGGGTTGGGTTATGCGTGGGGAATACGAATTAGGAAGTTACGTACCAGGTTTTGTTTTTAAATAACCACTGTTTATAATATACAATAATTTGTTGTAAAATAATAATTAATCTGTTTTGTTGTTTTTTTTAGTTACGTTGGATTTTTAATATTGAAATTTAAAAGAGTTAATTTCAAATTAGTCAATGGTTAATAATAAATAAATAAAATTAACTCTTTTTTATTTTATGTTCTTGCCTGTAACATATTATATGCCACTGTTTCTTTTTGTCTTTTAGTGCTGTATTTGGTTTTGTTTAGAATGAGTGAGTTTTTAGTTTAGTTCCTGTAATTTTTTTCTTTGTTTTCAGTTATTTAAAATTGAATATTAATAAATTTCATTTTAAAATTTTATGATATTTGAGTTAAGAAAAGAAATTAAATGATCATTATAAGTAACGCATTTCATTGTTGTAATATAAAACTGAATATATTATGTAAAAGGTTCTTAAAATTCGTAAAAATATTATTCATCTATTTTAAAACGAAAGGAATTCAAAACAACTATTTTATATTTTGGAGGGATAAAGATTTAAAAAAAATATAGGGCTAAAAGTAAAATTCAAAAACTAAAAATAAAAAGTGACTTTATATTTTATATGGATGAAAAAAATACTTTATGAGAATCAAAATTTATTAATTTCGAGACTCAACATATTCAAGCTTAAATACTTTATAAAATGTAATAATATTATAATGATGATTTTAGGATTTGTTTGATAATCAAAATTTATTTTTCATCTCTTTAAACATTAAATATGTGATCTATCATTGTTTGGTATTACGCAATCATGATAATTAAGATTTTTTGTTTATCATGTAGTTTGTAATTGAAATATTTTATCACGTAACATTTTTTAAAACGTTGAATCTTATGTTCACTTAACCATGTTAATTAAAATATTTATGTAAGAAGTTATTAAAATTAAACATAACTTTATTCATTAATCGTGATATTGAATCTATATTTTTAACATCTGATGATGATGAGTCTATAACTTATTTCATATATAAATTTCATATCCAAATAAGTTTTAGCTCTATAAATATATAGACATGGTAATGATCATCTTCCCACAAAAATATTTCTACTTGAAGAATAATATTTATTGGTATTTCTTTCATCTTAAATGTTCGTATCATTTTATCACTCTTAGTCTAAATGAGTTTTGATCTTTGAATAGTATTTTCAGGTAAAATCTTTATTAGATTTGGAATATATATTAGATTGCACACCAAATTTTAAGATAACTGCATCATCAAGATAAAAATATTGGATATTTGAAAGGAAATATAATATCTATAAAATGAGGATAATTCATAAGATATTAATATTATCTTAAATTTAAAATCTTAAATATAGTATATGTTAAACATCTTCTTATTCTTGTTTAATATGTGATTTAGACTCACATCATCATATTAGTATATCTTTTTGTGTTTATTATATTAACCTTTTCATGTACCGTCGTTTATCATGATATATTTATTTAACTCATTGTCAATCAAACTTTATATATAGAGATTATTTCTAAATTGTCAGTATTAGATTTTAATATCATTTATGATCTTGCGATTAATCATATATTTGTTCAAAGATTAAGCATGTTCTAAAACTATAATTAGTTTTTTTTTAATTAATTAAAAAAATGATATTAATAAGATACAAGTCTAATTCACTTAAGATATCATTTTTAAGTTAAAATATTAAAGCAATAAATTATAAATTTTTCTTTTCTGTTTATTAATGTGTGTTATTTCTAAATTTGTTTATAACACAATCACATAGTGAACTTTCTAAATTTAGATAATAGGTTGATCAAGAACTGGATTCTACACCCTCACTCCAAGTTCTTATACTTTGTTCTTCAATAAAATTAGAATAGGATTCCTGTTCAGCAATAAGTAGAATATTCTCATGCGACTACCCCCGCATTACTCGTTGCAGAATTAACAAAACATGATTCTGCATGTTCTTATCGTACAAATATTCTCATGTTAAAATTTTGTTTATATCTCCTTTTTTTTTTTCGTATTTGAAGTAATACACAATTAATGTAAAGAATAGTTTGTCGTCTTAAATTTAAGAAAGTATTTTTTGAACATCGAGTGGACACTATTTTTTTTTTAACAAATTAACATATGTTTTTAAAAATAATTAAAAATAAAAACAATGAAACTGAAATTTAATGCCAGAGAATTCATTCTGCGGAGCCTGCACGCGTGTTTATTATTGACAAGGGGAATGCTAGTAAATAAATAATTTCTGGGAATCAAATGTTTTAGTTTTCTAAATGTAAATGCATAAAATGGAATAGTAAGTGACCAGCGATGATGAGAAGAAGGAAAATTACAGTTACCTCATTGGAGGTTATGTAAAATAATACTCATATCTTTTCTAATTTTAAAATAAACATTCATCCCTCTTACATAAATTTTATTAGATTTACACTCCTTTAATTTTTAAATAAATATTCAAATCTTTTTATATTTTTAATAAATGATACTTTTTTATACTATTACGGATAGAAAAATAAAAAATTAAATAAAATTTATGAAAATAGTTTAATTATTTAAAATGAGATCATTTCGAATCTCATCTGCAATAAAGTAAAAATTTAAAATTTTGTGTGCATTAATTTTCTTCTCTCATCTACTTCTCTGTTTTCATATTGATTCACTTTCGGTTGCTTTTTTTCATGTTGATTCACTTTTGGATGAGGTTGGTTTGATTAAGATTGAAGTATTATTGATTTAGCATTCTTTATCAGACTAACTTCAATCATAATTTTTTTTAATCATTATTATCGAAGTTATTTGTTTATAAGTTAATATTGTATCATTGTCAAAGTTATTTTTTTTTATAATTTAATACTGTTTGACAATTGTCATTAAAGTTTTCATTATCAACATCAATATTAGTTTTTATTAATAGAGAATATATTTTTCAACTAACACCAATTATAATATATATTAAGATTATTTCTCAATCAATATTAATTAATTTGTTGTGATCAATTTTTTAACAAATTAAATTAAAAATACTTCATTCAACATTAATAGAAATTATTTTTCTATTAACATTATTAAAATTATTTTTCTATTATTTCTTGATTCTTATTTACCAACATTTCCTCAACTAATGTTTATAAAACTACTTTTTAATAAAATTTAATTAGATTTTTTAATTAGAGTCTATAATAATTATATTTTTAATCGATGTTTACAAACATTATTTTTTCATCCACCCAGTAATAATAATTAAAATACTTTATTCAATAAAATATTAAAATTTAATAAATTTACATGATCACATCCAAATAAAATATTAAATAATTTAAAAATAAAAATAGTTCAAATTCAATGAATTTTTTAATAGTGCCAAATACAATGTTAAGTAGTGATATCAATTCTCTTAGTTAGAAACTGATTTTTTGAGCGAACAACGGAAATGGAAGGCAAGTTTACCAAACCTAGGTTACTTCTCAATCAACACTGGCCACCTAGTGCACATGCATGTATATTAAGCTTTTGAAAGATTACATGTTATCAGAAATGATAATTCGAGATCTAAAAAGAGGTCAGGGCTACCAAATGGAATAGAAAAGTTCACAACTAGAAATGGGGGTTAGTGCCTGATGGTGAGCTCAGCTCTAAGGTGGAGGACACCATTGATGAAGTAAAGACTATCCTCAGCCATGAACGAGGTCCATGGAATAGCAAACAAGTTTCTATAGCCAACGGCCTTTCCCCCTGTGAACATGTAGTTACCTTTGTACTTGCTAACAAATTCCTCTGTTGGCCTAGACCTGGCAGCAAACTCATAGTCAACAGCAAAGCTCACTGAGCCCTTCTCCTGCATTCCCAAAAACAGCCCAAAGCAATGGAAAGAGCTTTGCTGATCCATGTTGCAATGTGCTGAAAGGAAAAAACCTTGTCCACCCAAATGGAATGCCTGAGAATAAACCCGGCCAGATGGGAACAGATTGGCACATTCCTCACGCTTCAGATCCAAATACACCACACACTGCTGCCGAGGAAGTTCAAATTCAACCACCTTCACTGGGCGATACTTGTATGCCCTCTCCACAAATCGCCGGTTTGAAGAAGCAGAGTCTTCTGCTGCCAGTGCCCGTTGGCGGTGTGGAGCCTCAGCCTTGAAAAATAGGCCCTCTAGTACAAGCTTGGATGCAACATCATGGTCAAAGTCGGAACAGGTCAACACCTTCTTAAGCTTTCGGCAAGTCATGTAAGGGAAGCGAATTAAACGTGCAAGATGGGCACCCAAGACTTCTCGCCTTTCTTCCAGTTTAGGGTACTGCTGCCGAGACCACCTCAAAACAAAATCATATACAGCATCTTCTGATGCAACCTGGAGATCATCGCTAGATAGTATTGCCTCTACTCCAGCTAGGGGCAATGCCATAACCTCTTCCTGGAACCTGGTCATGTCATGTACAAGATTTATTAGCATTCATATATAAATATGATAATAAGATGAAAACAATGAAAAATGGCAACAAAATAAACAGGTGTTTTCCATAAGAATAGACAATTAGAGTAAATAATTTCCACAAAAAGAAATATTTTCCAAAAGACTTTTTCTCATGGGATTGTATAATAGAAAAGCCTCTAAATTTTTTATAACCTATCAATAACATGTTTGGACACTTTTCTGAAATGGGTAAAATCATGTCCAACGTAAAAAATGCAGAATATAGAACTGTGAGCTTCAGGAGTGACATGCATAACAGGTTATTCAAAATCAGGACCTAAATACACCGTAAGTTGATTACCCAAAAGTACCAGCATCC